ATGACCCGAGAAGTCATCATTGGCTTGACGGCCGAACGGGCGGTCATGGGAAAGCCGCCCAGCCGGAGGGTTTGACCTGGGGACAGGGCTCCTCTGGAGGTGATACTGTCCTTGACAACAAGGCGAGCCATCAATCATGTCTTGGACATCACAGCGGAACTCTCAATGAAAGCACCAATGTCGGTGTCAAAATCAGCGGATCTCGGGTAGGGGGTCCCGAACTGTGCGTCTAAGGTTGATGGTAACAGCAGGCGGGGGACACGATATTTACCCAGGTTCGGGCCCTATCTATGGAGGTAATACCCTACTTCCTGCTTGATTGATCTTGATGAATATGAGTATTACAAGAGTTGATCTACCACGAGATCGTAATGGCTAAAACCCTAAGAGTCTAGCATGTATGATTATGATTGCCTCTATGGACTAAGCCCTCCGATTTATATAGACACCGGAGGAGACTAGGGTTATACAAAGTCGGTTACAGAGAAAGGAATCTTCATATCCGGGCACCAAGCTTGCCTTCCACGCCAAGGAGAGTCCCATCCAGACACAGGTGAGAGTCTTCGGTCTTGTATCTTCACAGCCCATCAGTCCGGCCCATGTCAATAGGCTGGACGCCTGAGGACCCCTTAATCCAGGACTCCCTCGGCTATATATACCCCTCCACCCCCTTCTCCATCTGTGAGAGAGGCATCAGAACGTGCCTACACTTCCACTACTCATTTTGTGAGAGAGAACCACCTACTCATGTGTTGAGACCTAGACATTCCAATCCTACCACAAGAATCTTGATCTATAGCCTTCCCCAAGTTGCTTTCCACTCAAATCATCTTTCCACCATATCCAAATCTGTGAGGGAGAGTTGAGTGTTGGGGAGACTATCATTTGAAGCACAAGAGCAAGGAGTTCATCATCAACACACCATCTATTACCTTTTGGAGAGTGGTGTCTCCTAGATTGGTTAGGTGTCACTTGGGAGCCTTCATCAAGATTGTGGAGTTGAACCAAGGAGTTTGTAAGGGCAAGGAGATCGCCTACTTTGTGAAGATCTACCCAAGTGAGGCAAGTCCTTCATGGGTGATGGCCATGGTGGGATGGACAAGGTTGCTTCTTCGTGGACCCTTCGTGGCTGGAGCCCTCCATGGACTCACTCAACCATTACCCTTCGTGGGTTGAAGTCTCGATCAGCATGGATGTACGATAGCACCACCTATCAGAACCACGCCAAAAATCTCCGTGTCTACATTGTGTTTGCTCCCTCCAAACTCCTCCCTTTTACCTTCATATGCAATGATTTACATTCCATTGCTATACTCTTAGAATTACATGTGTAGGTTGATTGCTTGACTTGTGTTAAGTTCCTAAAATCTACCAAGACTTAAAATTGGGAAAAAGATAGATTTTTATTTGGTCAAGTAGTCTAATCACCCCCCTCCCTCTAGACATACTTTCGATCCTACAGACGGCTAGAAATAATTTGCACAACTTGGGACGTCAAGATAAACTCACATAATCGGTTTCAACGGTACCACTTAGAGGTGCATTGCGGACTTGTTGTAAGATGCATCCCAACGGCTATAAAACTGCTTGATCACGTCCCAACAACCTTGGAGTGACCGAAAGGTGTGTTGCGTCCTGTTGGGATACTTTGCCATCATGTGCAAGAACTGGTCCTCTATCCTTTGCTAATACTGCTTGGCGATCTAGTCAGTGTCGGTGCACGCATCAAGAGACATCGATTCCCAAGCCTTGATCAAGATGATATCTTCCAATTGCATGTAGTTCTTCGATCTTGCGCGCACTTTTGCTTGCGCTTCATCGAACACCCCACCTCAACCTCCTCCGCCTCATCTTCTTCCTCGCCGTGGCTGTGCACACCACCATCCATCTCATTGTAATCGTAATCACTGATCGGGGCTTGATCAATATCGACGGTGTTGTCGTCTAACAAGTGCACAAACTCGGCAATCCCATCATGCAAACCGGCGCTATAATTTCGTTCAACAAGTCACGAACACGCGCAATGGAGAAAAGTGAAAGAACTATAAGAAATCGAAGCATCATACCTTGCGCCTATTTCGTCGAACACCTCTGGGGGGGGGGGGCAGCAGCGTCGTCGACGGGCATCCTCAGGGTAGTTCTTGCCGGGGCAATCGGGGGAGGTGTTGGTGGGGTAGGTCTTCCAGCGCCCGAAACCTTCACTTTCTTCGCCGACGCGGGCCCAACCCTAATCGCATCGGCGGCGGCGGGCGCGTGTTCCTTCCCGGAGGGGGCTGCGGGAGCGCCGCCCTGGACGACGACGCTGCCCTACCGCTTGCGGGATGGCGCGGTGGAGCCTTGAACGACGACGGGCATGACATGGCCGGCGACGAGATTTGCTAAAGGGTGTGGCGCGTGGATGACATCCACGGTGACGGCCGACGACTGGGAAGCTTCCATGACGGCGGAGGGAAGCCTGGGAAGGTGCTCCAGAGCGGACGGAGGGAGGTCGTTGGCGGCAGAGGGGAGGGGAAGCGGGAACTGCCGAGCGGAAATGTCCTCCCGCCAAATCTCGGAGCCGATAGGGGTCAAGCTCGGGTCGACCTCCCACCCCTTGTATCTAAAGTTGAGGGCAAAGATTTTCCGCGCCCCGCAAATATTTTTACAAGTCGCGGACTGATACAGTGTCTTATCGAGCCACTTTTTTCAACTGAAAGCGTAAACAAATGGTGGGTCGGCGTGTTTTAAGGGGTGCGCTAGAGATGCTCTAAGACGTGTGTGGCTTACAACCATTGAGAAGTGAGAAAGGTTCTGGATCTTACTGGCTAGCCCATGAGGTGGCGAGGAGTCTACTCAGCCAGCTCACTTCTACAGTACCCTGTAGTTTCCCCTAGGACAGGTCGTTATGCCCACTGATAAGTCCCTACCATAGAAGCACCACCGAAGCAAAACTCTTTGGTTGATTGTCCGGCCCGTCTCTTATATTAAAATCCACAGCCGCGCGCAAATGTCACGCACCACGTAGGATATGGAAATGGAAGGCGACGGCACAGAGACAGCGGACGCCTACGCCAGGTACGAGGCGATCGCTTCCTCCCTCCCGACGTCGGCGTGCCAGGGCCTGGGGGCCGCCGCGTACAAGAACCACCGCGGCTTCTGGTACCCGGCGCACCAGATGGCGCCGACGCTCGCCGTGCGGGACACCTTCGTCGCCCGCCCCACCGACATCCTAGTCGCCACCCTGCCCAAGTCCGGCACCACGTGGCTCAAGGCGCTCGTGTTCGCCATCGCGCACCGCCGCGTGCACACCCCGGTAGCGGACGGCACGGGGCAACGGCGCCACCCGCTCCTGGGCTCCAGCCCCCACGACCTCGTCCCCTTCCTGCACTACGTCTACGAGAAGCACCGGTCGGCCGCGGTCCCGCTCCTGGAGGCGATGCCGGCGCCGCGCGTCCTGGCCGTGCACGCGCCGCTGTCGGCGCTGCCGGCGTCCGTGGCCGGGTCCGGCTGCCGCGTCGTGTACATGTGCCGGGACCCCAAGGACGCGCTCGTCTCTCTCTGGCACTACCTCCGGAAAGCCAACCGTCCTGGCGCCACCGCGGCGTCGCTCGAGGAGCTGCTCGCGGCGTTCTGCGACGGCGTCTCGCCGTTCGGGCCGGCGTGGGAGCACGTGGCCGAGTACTGGAGGGAGAGCTTGGCGCGGCCGGAGCAGGTCATGTTCCTCCGGTACGAGCACCTCAAGGAGGACACGATGGGGAGCGTGAAGCGGCTCGCCGAGTTCCTCGGCTGCCCGTTCACGGGCGAGGAGGTGGCCGGGGGCGTCCCCGAGGCCGTGGCGGCGCTGTGTGGCATAGAGCGGATGAGGAGCGTGGAGGCGAACCGCACCGGCGAGTACGGGGTTCACTGGAAGTTCAGCAACTCCGCATTCTTCAGGAATGGGGAGGTTGGGGACTGGAAGCAGCACATGACGGCCGAGATGGCGCAGAGAATCGACGGCATCATGGATGGTAAGTTGCGGGGCATTGGCCTCTCGCTTATCACTGAACCAAAGCAAATTCTGAATGAAAATTAAGTTATGATGATTTAGGTAATTGGTTCTACTTTACAAAAATACATAACCCAAAAAATATTGTAATGATGCCCATATTTATTAGGGACTGAACGTCATGAAAAATGCAGCAGTTGTTCCTTATTTTTCTTTGGCCCAATCCATCCAAAAACCCTCAGAAGCAGCCTGTGAATTGAAACACAAACCCTCGGCGTCGACTGAGACGGCAATGGAGGTCTTGTTGGTATGCAATGTGTATCTAAAGGGGCTTTTTTTTTGCGAATGAATGTGTACCTAAAGTTGTATGTAAGATTTAAATACTAGAATCTTGACACTCCGTTGTGCATAATTCAGCTGCAAGCCAGCGATTGCTTCCACGAAATTTTTCATGTTGCAAGCACAATGCTCAAAATAAGGCCTCGGTAGTTTCTGTGTTGGGCAATGGTCATGGAATGGAACAGAACAGAAAGGCCTACACCACCAACACTGCATCCCGTCCAAATTCAAAATGACCATCAGAATATGAAGTTACTACCACGAATCCTGAGGAACGACCGCCCTCAAATTAACTTTAGAACTTATCATACTCAGACTAAAATCCCATATTAAACAGAGCAAGGCAACAAATGATAACACATATACTATATTCCAGTGAAGAAGTGAACGAAACCACCACGAAGCAAAATCAATCCTGCAAGAGATTGCACTGAGCTTTTGACGAATTTTATTTCATACTGTAGATTAGAACGATTGGACAGATATTTTTCACACCTGGTACAGACTACAGAGAGTAAAGCTTAAATTACACAGATATATGGTGTCATTCTTCTTGCTTCCTCAGACTTTCTTACTATGTTTCATATATATTAATACTCCCTCCGGTTCATATTAACTTTTTACTAAGTCTGCGTCAATTAATTTGGACCGGAGGGAATAGATGTTTGTTTCTGATGTACGCCATGTTGCATCTTCATTATTCTGATTCATTAGAGAGGTAGGTGGAAGGGGGGTGAGAGCTCCTCCTTGTAATGGCCTGAAGTAGTCTTGGAACGGGAGGCGTATCAAGATCAGATAGACCCTCTAGAGTGCGAACAACATCGCCCATTGTCGGCCGATCAAACTCATCATCCTGAATGCACCAACAAGCAACCTTGCATAGTCGTTCAGCCTCCTCTAGATTTACTTCACCTGATAATTTTTCATCCACCAAGCTTGCCACATCTCCCTCGAGAAGCATTTGCGCAGCATGCACAGGGAAGAAAACAACACAATCACCACCGACAGTGTATTGTTCAAATGAATTCTGTCTTCCTGATATTATTTCCATTAGCACCATCCCGTAGCCATAAACATCGACTTTTGCTGTGATAGCAACCCCGCTTATCCATTCGGGTGCAAGGTATCCTGCAGTTCCTCTTGCTGTAGTCAGAACCCGGCTAAAATCCCTCCCTATTAACTTGGCCATACCAAAGTCAGCAATTTTAGCAACAAACGACGTGTCAAGAAGTATATTTTGTGGCTTGATATCACAGTGTATGATCAAGTCTTGGCAGCTCTCATGCAGGTAAGCCAGCCCTCTAGCAACTCCCAGAGCTATTTTATACCTGGTACACCAGTTTAAAACTGTGTTGTTGTCCTGAAATAGATGGATGTCAAGAGAACGATTTGGCATGTGCTCATATGCAAGTAACCTCCGTTCACCCTCGCAACAGAAACCAATCAGTCTAACTAAATTGATATGTTGTATAACTCCGACTGAAGTCACCTCAGCCCTGAATTGTTTTTCTCCTTGACAAGCACCATCAAGCCTTTTCACTGCCATTGTAGCTGAGTCGGTCAGATATGCCTTGAACACAGAACCAAAGCCGCCGGCACCTAGCTTCTCAGAGAAATTTCTTGTTGCCCTCTGCAAATCAATGTATCTAAATGCAATAATTCCACCACCGTCTTGAGGATTTTTCAGTGTACCACCAGACCAATCCCTATTGTTCCCCCGAATCATCAGTAGAAGAACTAGCAATATGAGTGCCAGCAACCCCAGTGCGGTGACAATGGCAGCTGACAAAATCCGAGTGGGCCACTCTTCGGTCAGGTTTCTGAGTTTGCATCTCTTTTGCAGCAAGGCGAAGATAAAGAACTGCACCATCATTTGTATCGGTAGTGTCAGCATGCTGCTGTTTTACATTGAGAAGTTCCTCATGCCAAATGGAGCATCGACTGTCAGTGCAAGAATATGCAGTGCAAGAGCAATTTCTCAGGAAACTTCTGCACATTCTCTAGCACTGATAGCAGCGACAATGTTGTCAGCATTCTGAGGCAATTTCACATTGGACAAGGAATAGAATTCATCGGTCACTCCTGCAGTACTCCTGTTACTGCCACAATTTAAAGGAGTATTTCTCATGCATCCACGGCTTCTATCATTTTGCTCCCAGTCCTCTGGGGATCTTATGGAGAAGCCCTTCATACAGCTACAATATGGAGCTGAGTTATCATCGCACACAGTGAATGGTCCACAGAGAGCATAGACATCACACTGAGCTTTGGGGTTGGAGTAGGAACCTAACCAATCCTGTGAAACCTCATCCCAGATTAAAGTCTTCATTTGACCAGAAACATCAAGTAGATGATGCATGATCATCGTGTCGTTCAGTAAGGTGAATGTGAAGTACTCTTCATTTGTGTTGTTGACAAACTTGAAGTCTATCAAGCTGCGGCTTAACATCTCCGGAATGGAGCTAAAATACTGTCCATTCCATTCCCCGCTAGACCAGTATGCTACGGATGAGTTCAAAAGCTTAAGGATCAACTCGTTAGGAACTAACTCATAAACGTAACGACCACGAGCTGGGTCAATCAAGTTCTTTCTGGAAACAAGACGGCGAGTCAAACCAGTGACCTTGTCTCGGCCGATCTTTGCACCAGGGAGGAAAGTATTTGTTGGGTGGTCAAAACTCTGCCACAAAATGTCGGATGAGTTTGAGGCATTTTGTAGGACAAGGTTTCCATTGTTCATGAGCATGCCAATGGTGGTGTTGGTTCTGATACTAACTCTGCTAGACCAGATCATGGTATTGGTGGCTTGATCTAAGATGACAAGATTGCCATCTTGGGAAATTGTGAAGCTAACTAAAGCGGGCTGTGTGATTGGGTCATCACGGTTTGCGACCCACACAGGAGTTATCTTGGGGACTTTATTAAACCAAATGCCTAGGTACCAATTCAAGGTGTTGTGGGACATACTGCCTGGTTGGAAGAAGCCAAGCGCAAACTTGCCATCTAGGGAGACAAGCTTGTCACTAACACCGCAAACAAGTCCTTGGCCTGGTGCAATGGAGTCAATGGCAGCAGAGGATGCAGGAATCTGTAGGGTGAAAATAAGGCCAAGAAGCAATAGGTGAAGAAGCATATTGAAGTTGAGACGACTGGAAAACAAGCTGCCACTGATAAGAAAAACAGAATGGGTAGCGCTGCTTTTATATTAAGAAGCAACAAAAACATAGTACAACACAGGACAAGACTAGGCATGGCGGAGACTGGAGAACGCGACGGGTACCCTTGCCGTCGGGGCACGGCTGAAATGGTAACCACAAAAACTGTTGAGTGAAACATCCTGATAATGACCATAAGATCTCTTGAGTGGTGACCTGCCAACAAACAACCATAAAGTGGTTAGGTTACTATCAGCATCAGGGAAACAGAGATAACTGAACAACAGCTAACAAACATAAGAACTCGAGTGATCACCTGCCACCAGTCTTCGGACCCTCGGAGCTCTGCAACAAGTACTAGGATTTCTCGGTCACATCAAACTACCTTCAGCCTTTGCTTGCGGTACTAATAAAGATGACTTAAATACACTATGGGTACCTTAACTTGTTCAGCTCGGTCAGTTTGATGCCTAAACTTGAAAAATACATAAAAATAGTGTCGTAACTCGTCCGGACGTTCAAATACGGTGCCTTTAGACGCATGCTGATGTATCCATTACCCGTGTGGCGTGTCACTGCCAATGTTGTGGGCGCTGTGAGCTGCGGGCTTGGTTTTTTACGGACCCCTGGACTTTGAGTAAATGTTGCAAAAAGTAAAATTGAGGTTGGCACGTTGCCTGACAACGGAACGGAACACCCGGCCGTGCTTTGCTTTGTGTCTATTTACTCTCTTTTTTCTGCATGGTTTGTGTCTATTTACTCAAGTAGCTAGCAAATAATATAGCAGTATCACTCTGTACACGTTTTCTGCGGGTTTCCATTTTATTTTTTCTCAAGTTCCTATCCTTTTTCCGAGCCTGTTTTGTTTTCATAATACATAAATTTTCCCAATGAAAAATACTATGATTATGAATATGAAATTATTGTTTATTTTATATATTTATTATATTTTCATTATTGTGTACTTTGAGAAGATAAACATGGTTTTTTCTAAATTAATGTGGATTTAAAAGTTTGAACCTATATTAAAAATTATTGTGTAAATATGTATCTTCATTCAAGACCACACGCACGCACAATTATAGTGTATCTTCGGTGTTTTATTAATACATACATGTTGTTTATTTTCTTAATAGACGTGAGATAAACACGTTGTTCAAGTTTCATGTTCATTTTTAAATACACGTTGTTATTTCTTTTAATGCATGGCAAACATTTTTTCAGAACACATTTACAATTTTTTAATACACATCAAACGTTTTTCAAAAACATCTTGATCATTTTCTTAAATGCACTACACTTTTAGCAAATCTTATGGCAATTGTTATTTTTCTTAGATTTCTTTTTTAAAATGGGAAAAAGCAATATCAAAATAAAAATGAACATGAACTTGAATGTGTATTTCAAAAATTGTTCACCGTGTTTTTAGAAAATGTTCAATTTGTATTAAAACAATATTGTGTGAAATTATTCTTACATTTCTACAAACACACTTAACATATTGGTACATTTCCAGAATTTATAAAATTTACAAAATAATTTTAAATACACCCTAAACAATTTTTAAAATAAAATATTGTCAATAAATTTATAAATTTGTATTTTGAAAATACAATAAAGGTACACAATAATTGTGTGTGCTTGTGGTCCTAAATGAAGATTAATGAATTTACACAATTTTTAATATATGTTCAACCTTTTGAAATCCAAACAAAATTTTAGAAAAAAAATTCATGTTTATCTCTTCTAAGTACGCAATAAATCAAAAAATGGAACAAAGATATAAAATAAACAATAATTGCATGTTGATGATCATTGTTATTTTTCGTATGAAAAATTTATGTATCATGAAAACTAAAGAGGAACTTCAGTAAAAAAAACCCGATAGGAACTTGGAAAATAATATGAAAGGAAAACTGAAAGAAAAGCGTGTAATACGTGTCGAATAGGCTGTATAACGTGCTAGCTAGCAATTGGACGTAAACTAAATCGTGGCTGGTTGGTCAGCTCCTTCCTCTTTCAACGAGGTCCCTTATTCAAATTCCCTTAGTGCGTTTTATGTATTTTTTGCGCCATTTACTTAAAGTCTGGGGGTTCCTTGTAAAAAAACAGCAGACTCGTGCCCGCAACCACTGACATGTGGGCCAGCGACACGTTGGCATGCTACACAAGCACCGGATACGGCGGCAATACATCCAAAGGCACCGTATTTGAACATCCAAACAAGTTACGGCATCATTTTTATGTATTTTTCAAGTTCAGGCACCAAACTAACTGCATCAGACAAGTTAGGGCACTCACAGTGTATTTAACTCAATAAAGATCACTGACTCTATAATACTAAAAAAAATGAGACCAACCCAAGGGCTAACCCTAGCCGGGACTTGAACTCGGGTAGGCTGGCAGCAACCTCAACTGCCCGGCCAACGGGTCGACACCCTGTCCTTGGCACTATAATACTTGGTACTGAGGGAATTACATCATTGGTGGAGCTTCAGATTTTGCGATGCCAACTATCTTACACCAAAATGCATTGCCCTCTCGAGGCTGGCAGCATGCACTTTACTAACTTACTATGTTCTTCATCAAAGGGCATAACTGCTGACGTCCTTTGCAATTTCAAAAATTGCACTGAATGCATCTCAGTATAATCAGGGGAAGCAGTCTAGATCTAAAACTAGGAAACAGCAACAGGTGGCTGGTTCTCATCCGAAACGCGTGGACTCGAATCTTCACGGAAGACATCCGCAGCACTACTTCCGAATCTAGACTATCTACCAGAAATTTAGGCTCAAACAACTACTCCCTCCATTTGAAATTACTTGTCGTAGAAATTGATGTATCTAGACATTTTTTAGTTCTAGATACATTCATTTCTGCGACAAGTAATTTAAAACGGGATTTTTGATTTTTTGTCACCAATTACTTTGTACTTTGATAATTTGCCACTCTTTACATTGTAATTGATCTGCTGCCACTCTTTACATTGAACTTTGATTTTTTGCCCTCTATCAGATGGGCCCCGCATAAAATGACCAGAATGCCCGTGCTCCCAGATCGTTGACCAGGAACAGGAGAGGAGCTCGGTCGCTCGTCTCATCCCCTTCCTCTGGCCGGCAGCAACGCCAGGAGACCACGGCGGCTACTCAACGGCGTCGCGCTTGGTGGTCCTCGACGACCGACGGCCCTGGTCGTCCGCGGCGACTACATCCCGGCGAGGTGAGTCCTCTCCGTCCCGCTCCCCCTCCCGCGGCGGCTACATCCCGGCGTGTGCTCTGCCGCCGGCCACCATGTTTCTGTGATGTAAGCTGCCGCTGCTGCTTGTAGCAGCTGGTCGCCGCGTTGCCGTGATGTAAGCTGCCGCTGCGGCTCTGGTGACGACGGCTGCAGGGACGAGTCGTACAACACGGCGCCGACGGGCCGACCCTTCCCTTCGCCGCCTCGGACAGCAGCAACTCCTCCATGGTGCGGAAGCTATGCGTGTTCCTCTCCCGTTGACCCGTTCACCTGCTTGTGCAGGTCGTTCCGGTGGTCCTCGAGCCGCATGGCTGCTGCCTCCATGCAGGTCTTCGGCAGCAAGGGCCGCCGGCCTCGTACGGCTGCTGCTCCGCGACGCGTCTCTAGCTGCACCATGCAGCCAGAGCCTGCAACTTTCTTTTCTTCTCCTTTTTGACATTCTTAGAACCTGCATCTTGATTCATCTCTTCTTTGCATGGATGGATGCGTCAGTACGAACTGC